TAGTGAATCTGAAGGGAGGTCCATTGTGGAATGCGAGTCTGATAACTTGCCCAGACTCCGCGCCAACTGCCAATCCGGTATCGATCGATGTGTGAGTCGTCCAGGGAAAGGCTGCGCAAGTCACCAAAGCTCTGTACTAACAGCAGCAATTCGCACGACGACAGACCTCCAAAAAATCGGATAGCAACGTCCTGCACCTTAAGCTCACATTTCAAGCACTCAGTGATCCGCGGCCTGGCGTTACTTACAATGACAGAGAGGGAAAGATAGCGTAAGCGAGGCATTGGACACTTAGCCAGGAGCTCACCCAATTGTCCAAGGTTGATTGGTTGTTTCATGATGTCCAAGGTAGTCAGATTGATGAGTCTCGTACCACCGGGGCCGGAAAGGGCGGATAAAATTTGAATGACGTTTTTTCCACGACGAGCAGCAAAATTCAGAGTGATGATCTCGACTCCATGGGGCTCATCTTGAAGTATGTCAAGTAGTTGCACTTGCCTACTGCAGACAGCTGGCGTTAGTCCAAGGACTCGAGTGGTCAGGAGGTCCCATGTAGGTATTAGGCTCTGGCAATTTAGACGGTCCTTCCTCGACAGATACCGACTAATCCCGGCAGACAGTATTGGATTCCAGAGGATCTAAACTCCAAACAGAAAATGGAAGACTGAGCTTATCAATAACAGTCACTTTTACTCTATACTTCCATCTTTCATCATTTTCCTTTCCACGAGGCAGTTATGTGACTTAGAGGGGGTGTGGCATTTAAAAGAAAATTTTACTACTGATTGCAATTAACTGGATGTAACTTATCAAGTGTTCAGTGCGAGAATGAGCAGTTGAGCTATCTGTGCACTTGCTCATAAACAGTCAGTCGCGTACTCCGAAGTAAAACATGCCTAAAAGCGGATATTACAGCCCCTGTCTTCCCCCGTCATATATGTCATCCTTGATGCCACAAAATTGACAATGGGGAGGGGCTGTTGATATCACGTAGACTTTCATCCAACTACAAATATTCAATCGGATTTAGCTGATCACTAAAGGCAGGTTGTTCTTTTAAAAGGACTGACCTCGTCTGGTATCACGAGTTGCGACATATCCTGCTCTCCTTGGTCTCCAAAAGATCGTCTGGTGCACGTCTCGGAAATAGCAACAACCGGGATTGTAAACATCGAATTTATTGGTCCACCTAGACATCTTTCTCTCAACTGATTGGATGCATGTAAACCAATCGCGACAATGTCCATTGAACTGCCTACCGAGAGTCGTGGCAAAGAAGTAAAAGGCAAATTGGACCAGAAACGGAGGTTCGTTGTAGAGTTCGAGTAAATCAAGGGGATATAGGGAGTTGCGCTCTCAGCGATATGTCAAATGAAAGCGCACCTGACACCATTTTCACGCTAAATTTTGCGCAAAAACCAGCGCTCAGGGCACGAAGGCCTGAAATCTTAAGGCGATAAATGCGCCATCAGATGTCGTAGCGCAATTAACTAGGCCACGTCCTCTACTAATTCTCTTTGTTCTCTGCACTACATCACCCGCTATCAAATTAATCGGATCTTCCTTTGGTCTCGACAACAGCAGTCCCTAAATTGGGGCTCTACTAAACCCTTCTGATCGCCAAATCTCAATCCATAGAAAAAGTCTTCTTTGCCCTATGTTGGAGGCTTCAATACAGTTCCCGCAGTCCCCTTCTTTACGAACTTCTAACAACGATTTGTCAGGGTTTGTTAAAGCAAGCCATCTTGATTATTGATTATGGAGGATACTAAAAGCATGTTCTTCGTTATGATTCTAAATATGCTGCATGTTGGGTAACCTAGTGAGCATAGAACTTGTAGAGAACAATCACTCCCGTTCATTAAACGTCAATGCTCTGCTGCACTCTGTTAGCCCTGCAAATCATCACTTTCATTTGGGTGGCGATTTTGGTGACCAAATCCGAATATCTTTGTTAGTACGAGAAAATATGTGAAGTGACTGGGTTGTTTGTTGATCTTAGCCGAGTAGCCTTTGTTTTGGAAAGAATGGCCTTTTCAGCTCTGCAAGGTCTGTTTTCATTCTGCCAGATGCAAATATGATTGAAAAATTTGTTCTCTATGCTACTGGTACATTCGTGCTGGAGATGTATTCACTGGACACATTGGAGACCAACAGTACAGATGGTACTTAGGCGACACGGAATGACAAACACTGCAGCATTGATCAAATGCATTTTGTGGTGATCTACAGTCTCCCTGAAAATCATGTTTTTGTGCACGACAGAGTTAATAAAATAAGTGCACGTAAAATAGCAAAGTGCCGGATTTTGAAGTTTCAAGAATATATCAATGTATAAGCCTGCACTTAGCGGTATGATGCTGTTCCGTCTGATCCTGAAATTTCGTTCTGCATGCAAACCATTTTTCTTGGATCTATATGTTTGCAGCTGCACTGGCCTGTCTGGTTGCTTTTCTTAATTGCGAAACAACCCTATTAAAGTGCGCATTTGGAATCACTTTACGAACACGTATTTGTGATGATCTTGCCAATTTCCATTTGTTTACATGTCGTGTGCGCCGGTGAGGCTTGAGTTTCAGTAGCCCAGTGTTCGTGTTATTGAGTACAGATGTGGCGCGGATGGTTATATTAGTACGTAATTTCAGGCGGAGGAGGATGAATAGGCGTCAAGCAAAAAGGAGCCCTCTTGGGATACTATCATGGAAGAGTAAATATCGATCAGTGGAAATCTCTAGCAAACGCCAGCAGGACGCATCTCAGTAGTATGGGCTCTTGCTGCTCTAAGCTAGCTTGCAAATTTAATTTTGCTGCACCGGAAGGAAGATCGATGTGAAATGACGACGAAGGGCTGGTCCATGAGTAACAAGATCATCGGGGAAAGCAGAAGTTCGTAATCTTCATTTGCTGTCCACATTGTAGGGAGGACTGCTTGAGGAAATTTTAATAGTGATAACGAAGTTGAGGGAATGGAGGAAGAGGAGAGGGCAATAGACCAATAGCAGTGAAACGCGTTTTTTGGAGTAATAAGTGGTGGCTGGTGGTTGGGTACTTTTCGACGTGACGGTCAGTGACCTCGAAGATCGAAGTGTTCGTAACTCTGCATATTGAACGCCATTTTAGGGTACAAGAGAGACGTGGTAGGTTAATTGGCATTTGCAGTCCATTCCTATATTCCGCTCGCGTTCCTTTGTGTTGCACGGAGATCGTTGCATATTCTTAAACCTAGCAGCACTCTATTCCAAGGCTTATCTCTCAACAAGGCTGCTATTTTCATCAATCGGTCTGGAGGCATCCTCAAAAGTCGCAGTATTGAGTTGGCACCCGGGATCTTGTGTGAGCTATCAGATACAGATGGATGTCCTGACGACGAGAATCCCAGCCGTGTTTCACCTGACACTCAAATAGAGCAAACCAAATCGCCGACCACTTTAACGACGTAGGTATAGTCCATAGTCGAGATCCTGGGAACAAAACACGGTCTTGCTTCACGTTGTCCAAACTATCCCAATACTCTGTTGCCTTCTCACTGGGGTGGAGAGGACCCTGAGGACGAGACTGAAGGTTCTCCGACAAAGCTGGGAACAGAAGGGTTTCGCGGCGATTCCACGACTGCCAGTCATGAGTAAAGTAGGTTTTGTGACCGTTACCCAAGTCGACTGCGCATTTACTACGGTGCCAAAACACGATTGCTCATAAACAGCCAGTCGCGTACTCCGAAGTAAAACATGCCTAAAAAGTGGATATTACAGCCCCTGTCTTCTCACATCACTTATGTCACCCTTGATGTCACAAAATTGACAATGGGGCGAGGCAGTTGATATGACGTAGACTTATATCTAACTGCACATATTCAGTCGGATCTAACGGTTCACCAAAGGCAGGTTCATCTTTTAAAAGGACTAACCTCGTCTGGTATCACGAGTTGCGACGTATCCTGCTCTCCTTGGTCTTCAAAAGATAGTCTGGTGCACGTCTCGGAAATAGCAATAGTTTAACAGTCCACCTTGAAATCTTTCTCTCAACTGATTGGATGCATACAAACCAAACGCGACAAAGTCCACCAAACTGAATCCCGAGAGTAAGAAAGATACTAAAAAACATGTTCTTCGTTATGATTCCAAATATGCAGCATGTTGGGTAACCTGATGAGCATGGAACTTGTAGCGAACCCATTCATTAAACGCCAATACTATGCTGCACTCTGTGTGCCCTTCCAATCACCACCTGCATTTGGGTGGCGATTTTACTGACCAACGCCGAATATCTTTGTTACTACGAGAAAATATGTGAAGTGACTGGATTGTTTCTTGATCTTGGCCAAATGGCCGTTGTTTTGGAAAGAGTGGCCTTTTCAGCTCTGCAAGGTCTGTTTTCATTCTGACAGATGAAACAATGACAGAAGAATTTGTTCTTTCTGCTACTGGTACATTCGTACAGGAGATGCATTCACTGGACGCATGAGGGACAGACAGTATAGATGCTACCTAGGCGACACGGAATGACAAACACTGCAGCATTGATCAAATGCATTTTGGGGTGATGGACAGTGACCCGGACAATCCTGTGTTCTGCACGACAGGGTTAATAAAATAAATTCACGTAGAATGGCAAAATGCAGGATTTAAAAATTTCGAGAATATGGGAGTTTAAATGACGGCTCTTCTAGTAGAAGGCAACGACTAAGCATTTCCGATCTTATTTGCTTGTCGCTCGGCTTGATTCTGAGAGCTTGCATACTTTGGCGCACGATGAGCCGTCGTTATTCATATACATTTCGAGGGATGTTCCGCGGGCATTACATTTTATATTCCGAGGAGCTGACATTCAGTCGCACCGTCAGGGTGCTGAAGATGGGGAGCCGGGTAGCAGTCGTGGGTGGTGGCGTTGTTTGCTGTTGAATATCCACCGCAGGGGTGCCAGTTTCCAGTGCTAATCTTAAGGCAGCCAGGCGTGCAGGTGAAGATGGCGGGCCGAGAAAATGCTGGAGGGCGGCTGGTGCGTTATGTGAGGAAACACATCACGCGGTGGAGTAGGGGCACTGGATTTGGGACGCATGCGATCGGGTTGATTGGCGAAGAGGTGGTGAAATGAACTAGTCGGGTTGGGGTCAAGGACTCCAAAGCTGAGGTGAAGCCCAAGAGGAAGGTGTATCCGGATCCGGACAGTGAATGCGGTAGTCTGACAATAAGGACTGGACTACTGGCAGTCGAACAGAAGACGACAATAAATTCTGCACCGAAAATGGGACACGGGATATCAGCGACTGCAGGACCAAGGGTAAAGGGCAATGGAGGCACCGATGGTCGACTGCTACTGGAGGAATGGCGCTCATCTGCGCACCTGTAATGACGAAGAAACGATTGTCTCAGACTCCAGAATTGCAACTGACAATGGACCTGTCCGAGGATTGGTTGTCCTGACCTCCGGCCTGGCTCGATTCATTAATGGGTCCTGCTTATAGATGAAAGAGCAGGGGCAAAGCGGTTATTAGCTTTGGCGTCAAATGTAGTACGATAACAGCAAGTGATGGCTGTGCTGGGGAGATGAGGCAATAGGCTGTACCTACCGGGGAGATGTATTCGGAATAGCCACTGATACTGAAAGGACTCTACATCCTTGGGAGTCTTCATCAATTGCGACTTTGAATCCGAAAAAGCAGACGGAGGAGGTGTTGAGGAAATTGAAAGTGGAGCGAGTGAGCGCGTGGCGAATACGTGCATCTTCCTCAGGTCTTGCGATCGCCACGGACTATTTGCAGAGACCATTTCCGAACTGAAAATAATGGTATCTACTTCCAACATGCAATCGGTGCCTGAACAATCGAAAACTGATACTCAATGGAATATGAGGATTTCAATAGCACCCACTCTTTCAGACAGTTTTCGCCAGACCTCATATAGAGGTACATAATCCCCAATTCTAGTACTGGAAATAACAATGCGTTGAAAGATATCTTGGTGGCTAACTGGAGCAAGCATCGAATGCGACACCCGGATCACTCTAAGCTACTTTCGCACGAATAATACAGCACAGGAAAAAACGCTGTCTATTCGAAAAACAACATTTGGTTGGAGAGATCGCGCAGGTTGTCTAAGTCAGTGGATAGCCTCTCGTCAGATATTAGTGGCGGCCACCATGTAGTGCTATGCATTGCGCTTCCTGTACATGATTGGTTAGGGTGAAATTGGCAGTCTAGTTCAGCACCACGCGGCCATTACCACTGTCCAGCTTTGCATTTTAATCCAAATCGAAGAAACATAATTTCCTTGGATCTATATGTTTGCAGCTGCACTGGCCTGTCTGTTTGCTTTTCTTAATTGCGAAACAACCCTATTAAAGTGCGTATTTGGAATCACTTTACGAACACGTATTTGTGATGATCTGGCCAATTTCCATTTACTTTCATGTCGTGTGCGCGGGTGAGGCCTGAGTTTCAGTAGCCCAGTGTTCGTGTGATTGAGTACAGTTGTGGCGTGGATGGTTATATTAGTACGTAATTTCAGGCGGAGGAGAATGAATAGGCGTCAAGAAAAAAGGAGCCCTCTTGGGATACTATCATGGAAGAGGAAATATCGATCAGTGGAAATCTCTAGCAAACGGCAGCAGGATGCATCTCAGTAATATGGGCGCTTGCTGCTCTAAGCTGGCTTGCAAATTTAATTTTGCTGAACTGGAGCTAAGACTGCTTAGCAAGTCGATCGGGGAAAGGAAAATTTCGTTATCTTCCTTTACTCTCCACATGGGAGGGAGGGCAACTTGAGGAAATTCTAATAGTAATGACGAAGTTGAGGGAATGGAGGAAGGGCAGATGACAGTGGAAGGGGGGAGCAGGCACCAATATCAATGGAGGGCATCTGTTGGAGTGATAAGTGGTGGCTGGTGGTTGGGTACTTTTCCACCTGACAGTCAGTGACCTTGAATATCGAAATGTTCATAACTCTGTATATTGAGTGCCATTTCAGGGTACAAGAGAGAGCCGGCATGTGAGGCCTTTAACGAGATCCTCGGGAAAAAACACACTCTTGCCTCACGTTCTTCAAACTATCCCAATACTTTGTTTTCTTCTCACTGGGGTGGAGACGACGCTTAGGACGAGACTGAAGGTTCTGCGGCAAAGCTTGGAACAGTAGGGTTTCGCGACGATTCCATGACTGTCAGTCATGAGTCCAGTAGGTTCTGCGACCGTTACTTAATTCGACTGTGCATTTATCACGGTGCCAAAACACAATCAACTACACAATGTCAAGAGAATATCCATTAAGTGTGTTTTTGCTAAGCTGGTCTCAGTTCGCAACATTGGGCGGACGTGCCGGAACTCTATAACAAATGTGAAAAATTGAATGTGAAGGTGACGATTGCAGGAATATGGAATTCATTGCCAGTGTTGAAATCCTGGGTGATTTAGTATCAGTATGAACTAATTCATGCGCAATTCGCATGACTGTTGTAACTTTGTGTGGAGCACGCAGTGGACATCTTCAGCAACGACGGTTAAACTTTCATATTGGAAAGTAGACATCCAGGAAATATAATTTGATATATATATATGTATATATATCAAATTATATTTCTTGGATGTCTACTTTCCAATATATATATATAATGGTAGGGGCCGCTCACCAATCGTTCATACGGAACTGACTCGTTCCGTTGTGCCTTAAGGGCACTCTCTCGAGCCCAACCAGCAGCTGCACAGCGGCGCATGAAATATAGGCAGAATAGTATTACCGACAAAGACATGAGAGACTGGAATGGCCATTTCTGGCTTATTAGCCGTCGTCAGCCAGCCATACCCAAGCCCGAAGTGTGGAACACCCTAGCCTCGAACTCGCGACAGGGCAACGGGCTCGTGGCCCGATGGGTAGAGGCGTGGACTTCTAACAAACAGGTCGCGTGTTCGAGCCTCGGGTGTGCCACACTTCGGGATTGGGTATGACTGGCTGACGGCGGTTAATAAGCCAGAAATGGCCATACACATAAATACAGTATCGTTCAAGCAGGACGCCCGCACTTGTTTGAAGATCGTAAAAAATGGTGCATGATTCTCTAGTTTGAAAACCTAGACCCGTAACTGTTAGTACTCCGCCGTAGATGGCAATGCTTTCTTCAAAGCTCACAGTCAGCGTCTAGGAGGCCTATTATTTTACACTAATTTCCCCGCGTCACGGATTGAAAACTGGCGATGCCCCAGAAACCAGTCTTAAAAGCCAGAAGACGCGTATGGATGAGAGGAAACCCGCACAGACACATCGGTCGGTCACCTTGGCTCTAGGAAACCGCCTATTAGCTAGATTGGTCTTCTCAAAGGGACATTGAACAAAACAGTTCCTTAACTTCCACATCCATCGCAAGCCATTTTGTTTAGGCTTTTAACAGAGTTCTCCTCAGTGGTTAATTTGGTTGTGTCACGACAGGCTTTTTCTGATTGACACCGGTGCGCTCAGCATATTTACCAAAGACGCCCAATCAGTTAAGTTACCATTGGAAAAACAGCGTGGCTCATCGACTCGGCACTGTCTGTAAACTGATTGGATATTTTCGCAACCAGTCTGCGCAGGAGTAACGTAATTTATACGATGTTCTACGCAACAGTTGAAGGAAAACTTCTTGAAACAACCGACTGGTTAAAAAATAAAACTCCAAATTAGGCGAGTTGCAACTTTTTATTCGACAATGGAGATCTGAGCTTCACTCAACAATTAGATTCTCATAAAGAGATTATGCGGACAGGAATCTAAAGCAGCTGACTAAAAACTTGCCACGCTCAGTGGGGTAAGTATAGGGTGTAAGACGCACAAGTAGATGAAAACTACAAAAACATACCCTAAAATTCAGTGTGACTGCAAACATCACCTAGTACTCACCGTTCCCATTCTTTGAAATTTCCTTCCCTTCCTGGCGTAATGTAAACATGCCAGCGACGCTTTATTCAAAGTCCGTTATTTTTTGGAAATTGCTATTTCAAACAGGTTTTGGTGGATTTTGACTACTTCATCTTCACCCAACTGTGAAAAGCTCGGTGCCTTGGAGGGATTCGAATCCACACATTAAGGGGATGGCTTTAGTACTGCCAACGCTCTTACCACTTGAGCTACGAGGCCCCGCCAGACGACGCGTGTTTAATCACATTTGGGTCAAGTTGCTCGTCCAACCTACTGCAACGTCTGGAATCCACCAAATCTGATACAGTAAGTTGAATGCCCAAGCAGAATTTCCTAAGTAATTCACCTAGAATCCACCTGATGACTACCAGGCTCACGTAATTCATGTATGTTTTGGTAGATTTTGAATAATTCATATTGACCCAACTGCGTTGGCTGTACTAACGCCTTGCCCTTAATGCGTAGGTTCGAATCTCTCCGAGACGCCGAGTTTTTCACAGTTGGATCAATATGAATTGCCGATACAAGCGAAGATGCGAGTTCCAGGAACTAGTTGATCAGAAGAAGAATCGATCGCTGGAACAAGGGCTTTATTCGCCTGACGTTTCGGATTCTCACTTGAATCCACCGTGTTCGGTCGTGAACTGGCCGTTTCGTGCGCGAGAATCCCCACGTAAAAAGATTTCAAAAGTTCGACCGGCCATCCATTGGGCCTCAGCGCCGATGACGCAGTACACGCAGTACACACGGCTTGACCTGCAGTGCCGTGTGTGGTCCCTCCTTCCTTTCGCCTTAGGCCATTACTCCACTTCGTTTTCCATATCCCCTCACGCCCTTGAAAAGTGGACCTACCACCTCTTCCACCTCAGGTCCAGAATAAGTTCCTTTGTGGTTCTTACGGATGCAGTTAGTGCTGGATGACAGTCTAAATTGGAAGTCGGGACCTCGAAGGTATCACGTAGCAGGTCGATTGCTACTTGGTCATCTGTAGTGACACCGTGACTGCGGTGGCTCGCGTGCTTTCTGATTGGCTGGAACGATGTTTCCACCTCGAACATCACGCTTCTGAACTTCTTGATAATACCCTCTACCTACGGCTTCTATCCAGGTTTGTAATAACGGGCAAACAACTCTGCTCCGTCCCGTAAATAGTGTCCTTACGGTTAGGCAAGTCGGACCTCTGGTCCCAGATTCAGCAGTGAGTTACGTGATCTATTCGGCAGTTAGGGGAACCTGCCGGATAACGCATCTAAACTCGTGGTTGTCTTATATCAGCGGGCATGCTACCACCACGTCTTCTTGACTTTCCTCGCCTACGCTCAGCCGTGACAGGGCGTCCAAAGCCTCGAACTTTTAAGAGGGCACATACTGGATTGTGAATCATAATTCCGAAGAATAGTATTACATCGCTGTATCCCCCTAACCGCGTATTGCGGCATGTAACGAGTTATGTCCGGCTGAAACTTGAATTGGCCGTGATCCGAGTGGAGGATAAAATGTCTACCTTAAATGAACCGATTGAATTTCTAAAAGATGATCCTCGAGGTCTCTATTTCAGTATGGCTGAGGTTTCTCTCCGCCTTTTTGAGTGATTGCACTACATATATCAAGGATAGGACTTAACCCAGCGCACCCTTCCGAAGGATAACGCTGACTAATCCATAATTAAATGCATCAGCCTGTACGACTGTAACCTTTCTCACCACGAAATGTGAAAGCAAAACAAACTCACTAATTTTCGTCCTAATCTTATTGAACGCTTCCTTACAGTCTGTGGACCAATCAAATTTCGTATCCTGGCGTAGAAGTCGGTTCAACTATGGCCCTTAACTGTCGAGTCCGGCAATAAAGGGAGCGCAGTAACTAAATAGCCCCATGAAGGATCGAAGCTCCCGTACATTCCTTTGCACGCTCACCTTCTTGAATGAAGTCACCCTTCCTGGATTCAGCGAACATCTGACCTAGCCTCGCTTACCACAAGTCCCAGGTAGTAGGTTCCCTTTCGAGGAAATTCACTCTTTTCCTTGTTAATTTTAGGCCATTATAAATGAGATTTTCTATGATCTTGTCAAGCCTCTGGAGTAATCACTTCTCTGTGCGGCCGATGACCAAAACTCCGTTCAAGTAGCCGACGGTTTTAGGGACATTAGTGGGCACCGTGTCAACAACTTGTTGGAACATACTTGGTACGTCTTTGACGCCATAATTGAGACACTTATTTGTATTGATGGTCAGCATCTCCTGCGTTGCCTTCTGTATCTATTTCCACATCCCATCCGTATTTCACCCGAAATTGTGATAAGACAAGTCGAATTGGCGAGACCTTTTTCGGAGGCATATTTCACAATCAAGATCCCCAAACCTATTGAGATCCCAGGGACGAAAACACAGTCTCGTATCACGTCATCTGAAATATCCGAATACTCTGTCATCTCCCCGCTTTGGAAGGGGGAGCCATTGATAGTTCCACGAAGAACGTGCATAAGGCAGATGATTCTGTGGCGGGCCTTGAACTTTACAGTGATTCCATGGCTTCCAGCATAGGGCGTAGTGGGTTTCCGATTGTTATCGAGGCTGGCTGTGTATTTGCCACGGTGCCAAAACCCATTCACCTCCACTATGTAACCGTGTGTTACTTAGCTTGATTTAGGACCTCGCCATCTGGTGGACAATCGAGTATTTTATGTCATCTTAATGATCATGATATATTGAATGTCTAGCATTACATTCTGTACAGAATGGATAATACGGTAGCGGAAGTTGGCAGACGGACGATGGTACACGTGCGACGCCGCGAGAGCAGGCGTTCGATCGCCAGTGGGCCATGCATTAGAGCGCCTTGGGCGCGGGCATCTGAGTCGGCTTTGATTGGTCAGTTTTGATAGCTGTGATTGGCCACAGACACACGCGCGCAAGTACGCGCGAGAGGCGCTGTGTTGTGGCAGGCGCCTGGAGCAGGGCCTCTTCAACATGTCAGCCTAGGGTCACGTTCGTACCGAAGGCTGGCTGTGCATTTGCAACGGTGCCAAAACGCCTGTAGCTGGTCGGTGTCAAGAATCTGTCCATAAACTGTGTATTAGTTAGGCTAGGCTTGAACCTCATCAGTTGGCAAACAATTCAGTATTTAATGACACAAGTCACCTTGATGACCTTGATATCTCAAGTGTCTAGGTTACGAAAATACGGAATTCATTGCCTTAGTTTAGATCTGCGTGAATAACTGTCGTCTAATGTTTGACTTGAGAGTGTAGATGCCGGCCACTACAACAGCCCTACGACGGCCCATTTCGAGTACTATCTCGCAAGTACAAGCATTTTACAATTGACCGTGGAGGCCGCACCGACGTGTTCTCAGTCGATCGCTTGAAGGCGGCTTATACCGATCCTCTTTCAACTTTCCCAAACGAACAACTTCCACTCGGCACATTGCCACTTGCTATTTCCCAGACTCCACTTACGCCCAATAACCCTGCGTCTTTCCATATCCCACAGACTCCTCCCCTTACGCGCAGCGGTCGTCATGCCCGTTTTCCCGACTGTTACCAACTTGTGCAATATGCATAACACTCCCACCTTTTCCTTCTATTAACAATAATTTTTTTTGAACTCCGTTCTCCTAGGAGGGGGAGTATTGTGTGTGACATTTAAGTCCGTTTTGTTTTAATAAGTTAAAATACGCTTGTTAAATAACCTGGCACAACATTGAATTAGACAAAGAACTAGCACGTACATTTTTACCTGCTTACGACTTTGTTCTTATTTACTAGTTTGTAACTATTGGGATACTTCTATCTTCGTTTCCCGGATGGCCTACTTTCTGTGCCCAACTAATGGCTTTATCACTTAAACATTCATAGTACGGGTGACCTTGTCCTAAATTACAGGGAGGGAAGTAGGGTTGGGGTTATGAGGGTTGATGTCGGGGTTCGGATTATGTCTAGGCGGGTTAGGGTTAGTACTACTTTCAGGGGGTAAAGTTAGGACACGAGGAATAGGTATCCCATGGAATTTGGCGCGAGGCTGCCTGCAGTATGGGGAGTTAATCAAATGTACATAGGATGACGAAGTGTCGAACTTCAAATTTTTCCAGAATATTAGAAGTGAAATGTTGTCTTTCTTAATGGCAAATGACAGTGCAACCAACCCAAGTTAGCTTGGTAGTCGTCCAGCCTGCCCTAGGGAGTGCAGTTGTACGTAAGATGGGCCGGATATTCCCGATGCACTGAATTGTCATTTGCATTTCAGCTGCCACTATTATCTGGAACGACAAATCGTGTTGATGTAGCAACCAGCGCCCATGTGACTCGTATTGACGCGACGACGCGCACTGACTAGTCTGAAGACTAATAAGGAAGTCTTCATCTTGTCTCTTGACAAAGGCCACTCCATACCATTTTCGGCCAAGTCTGTTAACCTGAGTAAGACAATAAGCATGTTGACCAGCAAGGCTTGTCGAGGGAACGAGTTGATCAAAGTAATTCTCAAAAGAAACAGGAGACTTGTGGTGCTGCATTACTAAGCTGTTATGTACCGACGGGTGGATGGCAGAGCAGAGAAGCCGGGTCTGGGAACAACCACTATATTCTAAGGGCCTGCACAACACATTTTATAAGTCGTCTCAAGGGTCCTAGAACATTCTTACTTCTGGTATATCGGTCGTGGACTGACCGTTTCGTGCGCGAGAATCCCCCGATAGAAAGATCTCGGAAGTTCGACCGGCCATCCATTGGGCCGCAGCGCCGATGACGCAGTGCACGCTGATTGGTTGCTTCACCTCACACGTGCATTTCGCGGACGGCTTGGCCTGCAGTGCCCTGTGTGGTCACTCCTTCCTTTCGCCTTAGGCCGTTACTCCACTTCGTTTTCGTTTTCCATATCCCCTCACGCCTTTGAAAAGTGGACCTACCACCTCTTCCGCCTCAGGTCCAGGATAAGTTCCTTTGTGGCTCCTACGGATGGCAGTTGGTGCTGGATGACAGTCTAACCTGGGGGTCGGGACCTCGAAGGTATCACGTAGCAGATCGATTGCTACTTGGTCATCTGTAGTGACACCGTGACTGCGGTAGCTCGCGTGCCTTCCGATTGTCTCAAACGATGTTTCTACCTCGAATATCATGCTTCTGGGCTTTTTTATAATACCCTCTACCTCCGGCTTCTCTCCAGGTTTGTAATGACGGGCAAACAACTTTTCTCCGTCCCGAAAATAGTGTCGTGACGGACCTCTGGTCCCAGATGCAGCAATCGTGCGTCAGACTGCCGACCTAAAAACTCTCGGTTTGCGTTTGACCGCCAAGACCACTTTCCGGAATTGTTCTGTAGGCAATGAGGGACCCTTTTAGGTAGTCAACTTTGGCGTCTGATTTGCACTCCTTTTTCATTGCTCTCCTGAATGTATCAACTAAATGTTCTGCCTGGCCGTTAGATTTCGGGTGAAAAGATGGTGACGTGACATGTCGGATCCTCTAATTCTGGCACGATGGCTGAAACAGTGATGATGTAAACTGGGTGCCGTTATCCGTCACAATCTCTGTAGTGATATTATGCCTGGAAATAAGTTCTCTCATCTACTTCATTATAATGTCACCAGTAGACGTCATGACATCGGAAACTTCCGGCTACTTTGACCATGCGTCAACAAATATAAGAAACATTCGGTTGAAGGAGGGTTCGGCAAAGTCCATGTGGTCTCATCAACTTCGACCATGGGACAGACAGTACTTTTAATGGGTCCCAGCTTGAGCCCCACAGTGGTCGCAGCTTCGAACTAAAGATTCCACGTCGCCATCAATTCCAGCCCAATTCACGTGGTTTGGGGCCAGCTTTTTCAAGCAGTCCATACCCTAATGCACGGCATGAAGCGCAAATAGAACCTGTTGCTGAAGTTAGGCTAGAATCACCATTCTAAAAACCATGCACTATACGGTATTTAGTGACGTAAAGTTGTCTCTTTTGATTTCTTTCTTTGGATAGGTGAACGTTGTCTTCACTGGACTAGCCGTTCAAAATAAACTTCTTTGCCTGAAGCAGTAATGGGTCTGCTACAGTGCATTACGTGATATGCTCGGCAGTTAGGGGAACTTGCCGGATGAGGCATCTAAACTTGTGGTTGTCTTGTATCAGCGGGCTTGCGACCGCCACGTCTTCTTGACGTTCTTCGCCTACGCTCAGCCGTGACAAGGCGTCCAAAACTTCGAACTTTTGATAGGGCACATACTGGATTGTGAATCATAATCCCGAAGAATTGGATTACATCGCTGTATCCTCCTAGCCGCACATCGCCCGGCTAAAACTTTAATTGGTTGTTATCCGTGCGGAGGATGAAATGTCCACCTTAAATGAACCGATTGAATTTCTCAGAGGTGATCGCCGAGGTCTCTAATTCAGTATGACTGAGGTTTCTCTCCGCCTTTTGAGTGATTGCACTACATGCATCAAGGATACGATGTCACCCAGCGAACCCTTCCGAAGGATAACGCTGACTAACCCATAATTAAATGCATCAACCTGCACGACCGTAACCTTTCTCGCCACGAAATGTGAAAGCACAACTAACTCACTAATCATCGTCTAGATCCTATCGGACGCTTCCTGACAGTCTGTGGACCAATCAAATTTCGTATCCTGGCGTAGAAGTCGGTTCAACTATGGCCCTTAACTGTCGAGCCCGGCAATAAAGGGTGCGCAGTAACTAACTAGCCCCATGACGGAGTAAAGTTTTCGTTCATTCCTTTGCACCCTCAGCTTCTTGAATGGAGTCACTCTCCCTGGCTTCAGCGGACATCTGACCGACCCTCACTTACCACAAGTCCCAGGTAGTAGGTTCTCTTTCGAGGAAACGCACTCTTTTCCATGTTAATTTTAGACCATTATCAATGAGATTCTCCATGAACTTGCCAAGCCTCTGGAGCAATCTCTTATCTGTGCTGCCGATGGTCAAAACCTCGTCCAAGTAGGCGACGGCTTTAGGGACATTAGTAGGCACCGTGTCAACAAGTTGTTGGAACATACTTGGTACACCCTTGACACCATAGTTGAGACACTTATTTGTATTGATGGTCAGCATCTCCTGAGTTGCCTCCTGCATCTATGTCCACATCTCATCCATACTTCACACGAAATTGTGATAAGAAAAGTCCAGTTGGCGAGACCTTTTTCGGAGGCATATTTCACAATCAAGGTCCCCAAACCTATTGAGATCCCAGGGACGAAAACACAGTCTCGTCTCACGTCATCTGAAATATCCGAATACTCTGTCATCTCCCCGCTTTGGAAGGGGGAGCCATTGATAGTTCCACGAAGAACGTGCATAAGGCAGATGATTCTGTGGCGGGCCTTGAACTTTACAGTGATTCCATGGCTTCCAGCATAGGGCGTAGTGGGTTTCCGATTGTTATCGAGGCTGGCTGTGTATTTGCCACGGTGCCAAAACCCATTCACCTCCACTATGTAACCGTGTGTTACTTAGCTTGATTTAGGACCTCGCCATCTGGTGGACAATCGAGTATTTTATGTCATCTTAATGATCATGATATATTGAATGTCTAGCATTACATTCTGTACAGAATGGATAATACGGTAGCGGAAGCTGGCAGACGGACGATGGTACACGTGCGACGCCGCGAGAGCAGGCGTTCGATCGCCAGTGGGGTATGCATTAGTGTAGCGGCCGAGGACGTCAAGGGTAGCACACACCGGAGTAAGGGAACGCCGAGAAGGACTCTTGGCCGGGATAGACACAGAAGAAGAAGGCATGTCGAATAAGAGATAAAGTGTAATAATACGAGGTTGCACGGGGAATCGTATAATAGTCGTTAATAGTACAAGTAGGACGGTTACATCGGTAGAATGACCTGTCTGGGTGGAGAGACGATGCCAACATGCCAGCTAGTAAACCGGTGGGGAGCGCAGCGCTGGGGGCAACTGCAGGGAAGGGTCGAGGGAGTGCCGATGTAGTGAGGAGGCGAGCGGTTCGGACGATACGTTGCGTTACGGTACGACGAGGGGGAAAGGGATCGGCAGAAGAGAGGGGGAGGGACACCGGTTACCTTCACCGACACGCGACTACGCCATCTCCACCCTAGGTCCTCGCGCAAAAAGTGTCACCTCATTCAAACAACTCTGTCCAAGTCCAGGGGCGTTACATTAGAGCGCCTTGGGCGAGGGCGTCTGAGTCGGCTTTGACTGGTCGATTTTGATAACTGTGATTGGCCACAGACACACGCGTGCAACTACGCGCGAGAGGCGCGGTGTTGTGGCAGGTGCCTGGAGCAGGGCCTCTCCAATATGGTCCAGTCCGTACCGAAGGCTGGCTGAGCATTTGCAACGATGCCAAAACGCCTGTAGCTCGTCGGTGTCAAGAATCTGTCCATCAACTGTGTATTAGTTAGGCTAGGCTTGAACCTCATCAGTTGGTAAACAATCCAGTTCAGAAGATGAAGATGCGATCACTGGAACAAGAAATTTATTTGCCTGACGTTTCGGATTCTCACTCGAATCCATCATCAGAGACATTCGCAGATAAAGGTGATGGTGGCACCAGGAGTGCAGTATTTATAGCACGTGGCTGCCGTGGCTGTCCTACGGCTGTGATTACTTAGAGATATATTCCATACAGCACCCTGAGCTGTTGTTCCAGGTGGCAGTGGCGGCTGGGAAGATCAGGGCGTATGCAGACAGTGTCAAGTCGTCCCTGAGAATGCGAGAGAGAGAGAGGGGAGGAGAAGAGATAATCTATGGTGTCGGCTTCGAAGGCTGTATGGTGCATTACCCGAGGTGTAGTTCCTTTGTGCTCGAGCGGTCTGTGTTTAAGTGGGACATAAATGATTGTGAACGCACGTGTGTCCCTGTTGGAAGCAGCCGACTGCCCTCAGGTCGGCGCGTCTGGGATGGAGTGAAGTGGTTCTGCGACATGAGCAATCGTGCTGAGGGTGCGTGACCTGGGGCTGTTCGAGTTCCGAACCAAAGAGGGTGGGTAGCGTATCGACGACGATTGGCTGCATATCACCAGTCATCATTAATTGCAAGGACGTGATAAGTGAATAAAATGTTATCTAACTCCCCATCATCAGAAACTGGCATCCCAGAGCCTCCTTGCAGGTAGCTTCGCGCAGCATAAAGCAAGCTGCATTAAGAACGCCCCCCCCGACCGTCAAGGTTTGTGCAGTGTTTACACAGGGCAGCTCATGTGACGGAGATGGTTGTGATAAATTATATTAGCTATTTCTGGCAGTGATACAATACTCAAAGGCCGTGTTAGCTCCCTGAAGATGGTCTGTAATGACAGTTTTATCCCTTGATAAATTGCTTACATTTAAGAGAACGCATCATCGCTTAAGTATGCAAGGGGGTACTGCTTTCTTGACAAGTTTGGGAAACCGGCTCACGTTCTGTGATTGGCGCGGTAACTTGAATCTCTACATTTCTGGTTGTCATCTGGACCGCAAAACAGAAAAATCTTTGGATTATTGATATAAACAGATCCATTTGACCCGACTGTGCAAAACTAGGAGGCCTTGGTTGGATTCGAGCTCACAACAGCAGGGGCAAGGCTTGAGTACAGCCAACGCTTTAACTACCTGAGCTACGAGTCACCAACGAGGCTGCTGAGTTTTCCCGATTGGACCAAATCAATTATTCAAATCTGCCAAAACAATAAAATAAGCAGATTCTCCTCTGTTCTTAACACCGGCAAATATTTTCTGAATTATCGTGCTGTCGAGTGCCAGTGATCCTTCTATTTTAGTCCTATGGGAAACGTCTTGCATTCCTTAGGTTTTCAGCTCAAATATCATTGCAGCAGCTTTCTGCATTAAAAAGATCGCTCAGTAGCCTTTAGGGAGTTCACGTAGATAATGGTAAGGACGAATACGGAAAACACGTTGAAAAGTTGCTGCATGATAATTGCAGCTCAGGGACGACACAGTAAATGAGGATAATTACTCCCACCATCTCTACACCAGCATTCAGCGGAAACACAAAGCCTTTGTTGAACACGGGTATTGGTACTGCCGTGTTACAGGTGGTCGTTCGCTATATTTCGGGGGATACGTATTCCCATATCTCATAGTCTACCCTAACTCTAACCTTATCCCTCCTAACTCTAGTCCTAACACTAATACTGCCCCTTTTGAGCCTAACCCTAGCATTATCTCTCCCTACCCGAGCCCTGTTCCGACCCCGACCTCTTTGGAAGTTGGCGGGGGGGGGGGACTTTTCGCCGTGCCCTATTAATGACAGCCAGGCAGCTCGTGGCCTATTTGTTCCTTCTCATCTCACTGGTGTCAATAACTCATCTATGGTAATCCTGTTCATCAAAGGATAGCCCGTGTATATTCTAAAAATTTGCTGTTATTTGTGGCTCTTTCCAACCATCACTTACAATGGCTGCCGAATTTGCCGACTATTTCGGGTTATCTTTTTTAACAGGTGAGAATAATTGACGCAACCAGACTTAATAATACTTCTATCCGAATGGCGGTTGTTCTGGACAATTGCGCTTACAATCTCGGTAAGGCATATTTGTATTTAGTTCTACATGACTACTGCTAAAAAGTGTGCTACCTGTTATCAGTGTTTTTGAGAAGAGGATGCCAATACGGTCGCTGTACGTACATTCCCTAAAAAACGGCGAATAATAGCAGTTTAGTGTAGTTTTAAGCCAGAAATGTCAAAAAATATGAAATTCACGTGCGCAGAAAACGGAAGCCTGGGGACGAAATGGAAACTCCAAATTTCCGAATCCACCTCAGGTGCCCTATCTCCAGACGCACTACAGGCAAGATTGCCGGCTGCGCGAACATTTTACACTCACCGTGTGTTTTTGTGTACGCGTGACACGCGATGACACCCAATTTTTCTAGTCTGACGGTTTTCCTGTTATATTGCGATGGCAATGTTCTTTCGCATAATTTACTACTATCTTAAGTTTAGTAACGCTTTGTGCTAAAAGTTCCTCACAAACTCGGTCGGCCAGAGCTATATGCAAAGAAGTGCTTGACACATGTATTATTGTTAATTTTTCAGCTTTCATTTTGCTTTATACAAAAGGCCGCCTTTCGGCTGCCAATAAAAATGTCAAGAACAGTGCTAAGTAATTCTTTTTCGAAAACAAATAATCTATTCTGGAGTGAAATTTCTGATTATAGAAACGTCTGGACATAAATTAACTGCATGCATTTGGAGCTCTTTGGTATTATGGGTGGTTATCTGTCACCTCCGCGGACCGCATTTGCCTCAGCATGTGATAAACGCAACTCTGTCTGTTTTCTGATCCCTGGGGCACATGTGCTCGTGACATGCGTTAGTCTGGCTGTGCTGAGTCAGCTTAAGTCATGAGAAATGATTGTAGTGTCTTTAGTAATGGCTGTGCATTAGGCGCCAGAACCAGCAAGCCAGAAAAATATCTCTTTAAGCAAATGGGTGAACGCCCGGACGCAGCGGAAAGGAATGACACAAAATCTCAAAGCGCGGTTCCACTGATGGAACTCCACAACGCCTTCAAATTCCCTGTGGACGGGAGCAAGCAGAACAGAGTGAGAGAGTAGATAGATTACTCCGAGCTACACAACCAGCAAGCCAAGTCCCGATTAGAAGCATGAGACAAAAGGCACCAGAATGAGGAATTTCTTGTATTGCTGGTGCAGGCAACTATGGCCGCTGGCGTGGTCAGCGCGTATGTTGACGGCGTCAGGTCATGCCCGAGTGAGAGCGAAAGAGAGAGAGAAAGAGGAGTTCGAGTGTCTTTGTGCCGGGTGGTGCGTGTTGCATTAGTGCCCTCAAAACGGGCCACGTGTTAGATGCGCTGGACCAACACGGGGGCCACATCGGACTCTGGCAGGCGTTATCTGTGCGCAATAACAAATGCCAACATTTGCGGGGCGCGCTGGCGGAACCTGTTGTCGGCATTCGTCGCTCAACTGTACCACTGCCGCCACCCCATTGTTTTGTGGTCAAAATCCTGGTCTTTGGTGTGTGGACCAGGAGGTGCGGAGTGGAGCGCCAAGGCGATCCGTCCGAGCCATCCACCTGCAGCCTCCCCCGTCTCCGGTCTTCTTGACTCTGTCTTGACACCGGGCCCAGGCGGGGGAGGAGGAGAGAGTGCAGGTAGATGCAGCGCAAGTCTACCAGCACTATAAACCCCTGCGCTAGTCACAGCCCCTGCTCCCACAATGCAGTCTGTGGGGCACACGGTGGACATCGTCGAAATCGACGGTCGAACTGTCGAACTGTCGTGTTGCATTAGCCATGGGGGTGACATGTTCGAGCGGGACACGGACGGCCGTGACCGTCTGAATGTGCGCGTCTGCGCATATTGCAGTCGATCCGACTGTATGGTCAGTAATGAGCATGGAGCCCCCTGCAGGGAAAGTGAATGGTCTTCAGACAGCGGGGCGTTGAACAAAGGCGCCATGCTGTGAGTTACACTACCTTGATATCGAATCTCCGAATACGACATTGGGATAATCCATGTCCGGAAGTTCATGTACTCGATGGGTCCGCGACGGTATCGTCAACAAATCCAAATCAGGTTTGGTCCTGCAGCACCACTGGCGGTAGGAAAACCCTAGGCGCCTCTAATACGCGAGTGGTGGTAATAGGGCTTTTATGGGTGGGGTTTTAGGACAAGTCAAGGGAAAGGCGGAAATGTGGAAAGGCAAAGGGAGTTATATTCGAGCAAGTAAAGGTAGTTTAAAAGAGGTGAATTTGGAATGCGTAATATGAAAATGAAAAGGTATATATGGGATAGTTTGCGGAAGCTGCTGGGCTGCACGGTACAAGAAAAAATGGGACGGGAAAGCCGTCGACCAATAGGAACTGGGAACGCATTGCCAAGGTAGCTCCGCAAAATTTTCAAGAAAAATGTCAGGTAATAAATACGGGGACGCCGAGGAAAGCGAAGAAATGTTCACAGGAAGCAGCAATACAATTAAAGTAACGTAAGTGTGTCGTGGGGTATTTAATTTAAAAGACAGGTACCCAAAAGGAAGTGGTAGCCCATGAAACCGTGGAGTCAGTTTTTGAACGTGAAGTAGAGTGCTAGTTGATTGCGCAGTCCGGAGGGTTTTGAAAGCTGCTGTATAAAATCCTGATGAGTAAATATTTTTAATTATTTCATTTGCAGACCGTAAGCGGGCAGACTGCGCAGAAGGAGGGAATGCGGTTGGACAAACCCCCGGAGGTTACCAAAGTATTACTAAGCTGCGACTATGGGCATATTTTACAGGTCCTTGAATGAGCATAGTAGAAAGACCCAGTACGACCTGAGCTGGTCGCAGCCCAAGACAGTTTGGAATAGATTCATCCGAACGACTGGGATTGCGATAAAAGAACTGCTTTACGCTAGACTGAGATACCGATTTAGACTGGGGCGGTGTTTGACAAAATCAGGCTGGCAGTAAGAATGATAATGAAAATCCGCATGGCTTTCTTCGAAGGAACTGGAGTCACTAGGTGTGCGACTTCCATCTACACAAACCGCATCACAGCAGTGAAATGGTACAGCATTCGGCGAGGTGTTTGCCCGAAAGCACTTCTGAACGAGATAAAGAAAAATGGGGAAACTTTCTTAAGGTACGTAGCAGAACCGCATCCAGTTAATGCCGGTCAACAAGCCATGCTGCAAACGTCTCAGCAAACAGACCGGCAAGTTGATCTATAACGCTGATAATGGAAACGTAGGTAAATAAACAGCGGAAAAGAAGCACATGGAAACGGATATCCCGTGTCTTTTGCAAACCTGGCCTCTGTACATTTTCAAGCAACGGTCCCGCGAGGTTTTCTGGTGTATTTAGATCATTAGTAAAATTTTGCTGGATACGTCAACGACATTATTCCTAAGGGCAACGAGCACAGAGCGCTGAAGCACCTCCGGTGACGTAACCTAGCCGTGCGCACTCACCGAAGTGGGATCGGAAAGGAGTAGATCCGTTGACGCACGTAGGCTAGCCACTCGCTGGATTAGGGAGGAAAGTGATCGCATGGTCAACTGGAAGTTAGGTCAGTGTTCATTCCATCCAGTGACGCTATTTTAACGCAATCCCCCCTACTCAAAAATGATTTGGTAGGTTGCCCATAGAGCATTCGCCAAGTGCGGCTGCAGGACCAAACCTTACCCAAATCCAGCCCAGAACTGCGGTTGGGTTCAACAAAAGGGAGGGCTTGACGAGTTGCAGAATTGGGAAGTAGTGACCCCGTGGGTTTCCCCCGAGCTGCTCGCAAGTCTGCATGTGCGCATTCAGGCGGTCACGGCCGTCCATGCCCCGCTTGAACGTGCCACCTGATGACCGCTTGATCAGAAAGACACTTGAGCCCCCTTCGCCAGATCCAAAAACGCGGTCGGCCCCATTCTCCCTCTTGCTCTCGGGCATGACTTGACGTCGTCAGTATCCCCCTGGCCTTACCCGTAGCGACTCCCGGGCTACAGAATAAAAATTCTCACCATGCTGCCCTCAGTCTTCAGCTAATCAGGGCTCGGCTTCATGTCTGTGGCGCTCTGAGTACACTCACTACTGTGAGGTTGCAACAGGAGCAAACAGAACGACTCAAACTGGAGGCCTGATTCCCAGACTCAGTAGGTCGGCGCGCCAGCCCGCCCGGCGTGGCGCCATTAAGTGGGCTTCCACGAACTGCGACGCTCCGTTAGAGCTCAAAATCCACAAACCGTAGTGGCGAAATGAAGGAGAAGTAACTAACTTCTATGCAGCCATGTGCATTACATGAAAAGACGAGTATCGATCAACGCAGATAGGGTATCGCCGTTACCATATATCGCACGTCTGCTCGAAATTAGAAATGGATGCTGAACATTTCAACAGAATTAAGTTAATAATATTTATACCTATAAAATGTTGTATTAGAACAAGTTGCAAATTATAGGTGTTTTAGCCATACTGAGGTACTAGCTAACAGCTTAAGCACGTGTTTAATCGGCGCTCTGCTATAGCACGTCGCGAATGAGAGGGGTCCTGTCCTCCAGTGAATTCTACAGTGGCTTTTTCACGTTTCTCTGGCTTTGTGCATTTCGAGGCGCAGGCTGAAAATTTATGTCCTATGAACCTTATTTCAAGTAAATGCATCAACTCCTGGAGGAATTCCAAATTCCACCTTCAAACTGGGGTGTGATACAAAAACCACGTGCTGAGCACAGTGGAGTCCTCTCAGCTGTGCCATGCGGTTGATGACAATCGTCAGAGCTTCCAGCCAACACTCTTGTTTGGGGAGGTAATTGAAATACTTACGGTATGCAAACTACACTATCGGTTTGTGGGCATGCATAATATGCCCCCTGGTCTCAATCTGTCATCATGTGGAGTGTGACCATGATGATGATGATGATGATTATGGGGATGAGAAAAAACTGTAGGGAGACGGAAAAACTGCAAACTTTCTGGGGCGGCGGAAACGGTCTGACTTCTATGCACACAACTAGCGTTGTGCCGCCCCCCCCCCTCCATAGGTAACAGAGACGTCAGGCTTGAGTAATTACCGCAATGGCTATCCTTTTATATTGTCTAGCCTCCAAAGTTCAGCCCCACCCATGTCCGCCGCGAAATGATCGTAATCAGCGAACATACCTTCATCCTACGCAGCTGGTCAATCGAAAAGGATCTCGCTCACCTAGCAGGAAAGTACCGAAAGCAACTGCACGCTACCCTTTTTCTTCATTTTAGATTCACATATACAGTAGTAATTTTATTTGACCATGTCGATTGCAAGCTTGTTCTTTCAGGGATCATGCTGTCGTCTTGCGGTACAAGATGGTCCTTTTTCAAGGGCGGTCAGTAGAGGACATTTTTTAGTTTGGCAAGAAACGAAAAGCAGCAAACCCCGCTACATTTGACCCCGGCCCATTCGAGGGTTCGCTTATTTACGGATTTGTTTTTATGCAGTGCCATCTAGAATAACCGCTAACAATTTTCATTGTATTCGCGGTTAAATATATTTTTATGATGGGAATTTTTTTACCAATTTTAAAATGTTATCACTACTATCAATGCAAACGCAACAATTAGCATTCATATGTTCAAGGGCGATAGTTTGAGATATATTTGATGTTTGAACAGTTAAATAAACAACTGTAAGCGTTTTTAGAGCCGTCTCAAGTATTCGCGTATTTTAGGTATTCGCTGGTAGCCGTAGTCCATAACCCTCGCGAATACCGCGAATCACTGCACATTTATATGTCAATAGGGGCCCTAAAACTGGCCATATGGTGAACGTACTCCACCAACAAGATACTTGAACGGGATCGGGCAAGCATTATCGGGGATGCGCTCTAATGCCAACATTAGGGGTGTGGGGCACGCTCAGGTGGAGAACCACGCTGCGTCAGTTTGGATTCGTGCCGTCGCCTCCTTTTCCTTGGGTACATCCTGGCCAGCGTAAGCTATGGATCAGGAAGTGTGGTGGTACGCCTAGGTGCGGATATTTGTGGCGCCAACCGTCCGCGCCCTCTCCCGCCTCCAGCGTTCTTGGCTTTACCATGACACCGAACCCAGGTGGGGAGGAGGAGGAGGAGGAGAGAGTGCGGTAGATGCCGCGCAAGTCTACCATTAGCTGTCATAGGATAGCAAGAGCTGAACGCGTCCGTCCAGAAAGCGCTCTTATAGCAACGCGCAGTTCTTAGTTCATAAAACATCCCTGATTATAGTGATGAAACTCTTCTCGAACATATATCGACCGCTTTTGTACATTCTTTTACGCTTGCCGTACATGTTAGCTTGCCAGGTTTCGAAGGTCTGACGTAAATAGTAATGTTCTCACGAACTAACGGGTTATATCTCACGAGCCCCTAGCCTTAAAGGCGGCCAGTAAAACTGAGCAGTGAATGATATAGAGATTTTGAACGTTAAGAAAACTGACAACAGAGCACGACAGCGGAGCACGCTAGCAAGGCGGGTTGTACAGGTGTGTCGTTCCTCGTCACATTCAAGCAAGCAATCCGGTCAAAGAAAACAGGACTAAATTGTCAAAGGTAAATTAGTCCGGTACCTCACCACAGTACCCCCCTACTAGACCGGCGGGCGACGTCATACGGCGCCGGAAAATATGCATAAGTCTAGAAAAAATGCGTAACTAAACGATCCGGGAAATGAACGTGACGGCCACTGCGAGTAACGTAAGCAGGAGGTACAGTCGAAGAGAGTTGACTGCGTGCTATGGTGGAGGATGATGTTGCAGTTGGATGCTGTAGACATATAGGGAGAGGAAGTATGCGGGACGGAGGGGTAGATGGCAAGGGAGGGGAAATGCGAGGCAGTGGGCAGGGTGAATGAGCAGGGGATAGGGAAGATTGAGGAAGAGGGGTTAGGGGGTCAGCATAATTTTGTCCTTGTGACAGGTCCGGCGGCTTCTCTGCAACAGCAGCCTTGACCCGATCGACACTGACCACGTCCTCCTTGTCACCGCGAAAAATCCGGCATGTCTTGGCGTTGCGCGCGAGTACGCGGAACGGTCCTTCGTATGGGGATTCCAGCGGCTGGCGCACACAGTCACATCGGACGAACACATGAGTACAGATGTCCAAGTCTTTTTCGACATAAGACTCAGTCATTGGCGTTCGAGGTGGAACCGGAGAAAGCGAGCGCATAAATTGCCGCAAACGGTGCACAAGGTTGTCAGGAGTCTCATCGATCCAACAAGAAGCTGGGGTGATCATCTCGCCTGGAAGTCGGAGGGTGGTACCGAAAACCAATTCAGCTGCGCTACAGCCCAGATCCGACTTCAGAGCTGCGCGGATGCCGAGGAATGCAAGAGGAAGGTTGTCCGACCAGTTTCCTGGGTCTTCTACGGCGCACAGGGCGGTCTTTAGCTGGCGATAGAAACGCTCAATCATACCGTTGGCAGTTGGGTGGTAGGCTGTTGTCCGAATGCGTGTGCAGCCAAGGAAATTGAGTAGCGTTTGGAAGAGTGCCGACTCAAACTGGGCACCACGATCAGTCGTAATCGTGGATGGGGCGCCGAACATGGCGACCCAACGACTGACGAAGGCCTTCACGATGGTTCCAGCCTGCGTATTCGGCAAAGGAATAGCTTCAACCCAGCGGATATATCGATCGACACAGTTAAGGAGGTGGGTGAAACCATTGGATGGAGGCAGGGGGCCTACGACATCCCAGTGCACATGGCTGAACCGTGCGTCGGGACTGGGGAAAGTGCCTGGTGGGGACTTGTTGTGACGCTGCACCTTGTTGCGCTGGCAGCTCAGACAGGACCGAGCCCAAGCTTTGACGTCCCTGTTCTTGCCAGGCCAGACAAACCTTTCCGCGAGGAGCTTTTGAGAGGCTCGGATCCCAGAGTGGGAGAGTCCATGGAAAGTTTGAAATACAGCTCGACGCATCGAGGCGTGCACGAAAGGACGATGAAAGGGAGTTGAAACGTCACAAAGTATGGTACCAGAGACGGTGGTCAGAGGAACGTCTTTGAGTTGGAGACCACTAACAGACTCGTCGCCAGGACAACTAACTCTCTGTTGCTCAGCCGTCATGGAAAAAAGATCGATCCCGTGTGAGAATTGGAGGGAAGACAGTGAGGGTCTGGACAGCATATCAGCCACCTCATTCTTCGTGTCATTAATGTAGCGGATGTCGGTGGTGAATTGGAGATGTAGTCCAGGTGGGCGATTTCCCTCGGATTGTACTTGTCGGAGTGGGAACGAAGTGCAAAAGTCAACGGTTTGTGGTCAGTGAAAACAGTGAAGTCCCGATCTTCAAGGAAATGCCGGAAATGTTTCACAACAATGTAAATGGTAAGTAGTTCATGGCCAAAGGTACTGTAGTGTGTCTCAGCTGGTAAGAGCTTGTTGGAGAAAAAGGCAAGTGGTCGAGTCGAACCAGCAAGGTGTTGTTGAAGGACTGCACCTACGGCTACGGTCGAAGCATCTACCATCAGAGACAGCTGAGCTTCGGGAGCGGGATGCGTGAGTCAGGTGGCGTCGGCAAGGAAATTCTTGATTCTCTCAAAAGCAGTCAGTGCTTCACCGGTCATCTCGAGGGGGCTTTTGGGACCAGAAAGCATGTTGGTGAGCGGCAAAATGAGGTCAGCACAGTTCGGTAAGAACCGGCAGTAAAAATTGACCATGACGATGATTCGCTGCAACTGACGCTTGGATGTTGGTGGAGGGAAATTACGAACTGCTTCAACCTTGGAGGGGAGGGGACACAAATCTTCAGAGTCGACCTGATGGCCGAGGAACTCGAGCTAAGGCACACCCAACACGCAATTGGAGGGGTTGATGGCAATGCCAAACTTGTCAAGACGGTCAAATATCAAGGCAAGATGCTCTTTATGTTCTTCCTCATTCCAGCTGGCCACAAAGATGTCATCAATGTAGGCGTACACAAAGGGTAGGCCACGTAAGACATGGTCGATGAACCTCTGGAACGTTTGGGCGGCATTACGAAGACCGAACGGCATGCGGATGAACTCGAAGAGACCGAAGGGTGTGGTGACGGCGGTTTTAGGGATGTCCTCAGGGGCGACTGGAATCTAATGAAAAGCACGCACCAGATCACTCTTCGAGAAAACCGCTTTGCCGAAAAGGGCTCCAGCAGAGTCCCGAAGATGAGGCACGGGGTACCGATCAGGAATGGTAGGCTTGTTGAGGGCTCGATAGTCGTCACAGGGTCTCCAGTCGCCTGATGTCGCCTTTGGCACCATGTGCAGTGGGGACGCCCAAGGGCTCTCGGACGGCCGAATTATTCCCAGTTGCAGCATGTGTTCAAACTCCGCCTTCGAGGCCTGAAAACGCTCCGGTGCTAGTCGTCTCGGCGGAGCAAACACGGGAGGACCCGAGGCGCGGATATGGTGCACAAGATCATGTTGGATCTGGCCACTGCGAAACTGGGGGTTAATTATGTTGGGATGACTAAGAAGCAGTTGCCGAAAGAGGCTAGCAATATCCGTATCCAAGACAGATAAGTTGGTGGGGGCAGTAAAGGGAGTTAGTCCACGAACAAACAGACCGGTTGTGCGGTCGAGGAGACGGGCACGTCGGCAGTCAACAAGGAGATCGAACTCGGCAAGAAAGTCTGAGCCGAGGATTGCATGAGGGACATCAGCAATCACAAAGATCCAGGTGAATGACCGACGAAGGCCAATGTTCAGGGTGAGGGACAGACTGTCAAAAGTGGGAATGGGGGAACAGTTGGCAGCTTGGAGGTGAAGACCAGGGCTAGGGAAACGACGATCAGCTGCAGTTGGGGGAACCATGTTGATTTGGGCTCCAGTGTCTACCAGAAAACGTCCGCGAGTCGCAGTGTAGCAAACATAGAAGGTGCGACCAGAGCCGGAAGAGCCAGAGAAAACGGTCGCATCTATTCTCTGGCTGACTGGTTTCCCTGTTTCGGCTTAAAAGAGCAAGGTGAGGAACAGCGGCGGGCCTTTACGCCGAAATTAGTGTGATACCAGCAAGTATCATCAGTCCGAGGTCGCGACCGAGAACGACGACGGCTGCGTGAGCGACTGGAAGTAAGGCGGACGAGCTGTTGTTTAAGGGAGGCCATCTCATCCGCCATGGCCGACACCTGTTTCATTAAATGTTCATTCACTGACGATGAGGATGAGGAGATCTGGGCAACGGAAGGTGACTGGAACCGCTGCACCTCTATCATTCGATCCGCCATCTCAGCCAGCTGTGAGACAGTGAGCTCTTGAGAACCGGACGCGAGAATCGTTTGAACATCTGCGGGCAGACGTTCTAGGAACATCTCCTTGACGAATTTATCGTCAACCTGCACGTCTCCAAGGAGAGAACGCATTCGAAGTAGGAGTTCTCAGGGCTTCCGGTCACCCAGTGACTCCTCCTTAAGTATCTGGTGATACCGCTGTCGGTCGGACACAGAATTAAGTCGAAGAATTTCTGCCTTTAATGTGGAGTAGGGAGCATCTGCAGGAGGATTTGATAGCAAGGACTGAACTTGAGAGAAGCAGGCGTTTTCATGACGCTTGACAAGAAGTAACTCTATCAGAATAATCCCTAATCGGTGCGGGTATATTCACCGCCTCCAAGCACTCAGTTGATGTCGTTTTCCGATGTCAACCTGTACGACCTCATCTGTCGTATTCTTCAGCTACATTTACGCTAACATTTGTGCGTAGGCACCTGAAAGCAGATATTCTTGATCCGGTCTGGCTGCAAGATGGGACACAGGAGTGCAACTCTCCATTGGAGCTTTATGATGCAAAAGGTTGATATCGATGAAGTACAGTATCCAAGTGCACAGGAATATTCTTGATCACATCAGATATGCGTAATAGTGTATTTTTTACTGCTGTATTTTTCTGCTGCCAATTCAAGCAAATGTTGTCCGAATGTGTTCGATGGACCCGAAACCGTCCACGCTTGCCAGTCGATATTGGGGGCGTTAAAGTTCCCGACAATAAGGACGTCTCTGTTCGAGCAGGTCTTGTTCAGTTCCCTTAGGAGTAGGGTATCGTGTTGGGAAATCTGGTTTGGGGACGATATACAACTGCAAACGCCAGCGGCCTGGCATATTTAGTGGAGATAGTTAAAGATAAGAATTCCACTTCCGCTGTTGTTGTTGGATTATGCTCAGGGACCGCGGTTAGGTTGTAGCTAGCATAGACAGCGACCCCTCCTCCTCGGCTTTTCCTGTCTCTTCTGAACAGTTGGTAGCCTCTGAGGGATACCTGATGATATCCAATAGCTTCTGAAAGCCATGTTTCTGTCAAGGCGATGATATCTGGCGTGTGCTCGTCGATCAGAATCCTGAGTTCATCAATCTTGCTAAACAGACTCTGCACATTTGGATACAGCACCTTTAATGTCCGTCTTCTCGGGGGGAACTGCCCCTGATTACAAAGGGGGTTGGCCACAGGAACGATCCTTTGATCTGTATTCTCTTGCCTTCCTTTATTTTCAACCCCTTCTCCCCTTCTTCTGTTCTTCTTTTCAGTTCTGTCCAGACCCCCCTCATCTTGTGTCTTTCTGTCGGTTCGTAATCCGGCTGAAAAAACACTTCCTTATGCGAATGACGAAGAGCCATCCTCCCTTTCAGGAGATGTGAGACCTGGGCTTCATTTGCAAGAAGAATTTTAAGAGGCCTTGTTAATGCACGCGTCGCATCTGCGTTTCCTAGACGGAAAGCTTTGTGCACGGTAACACATTCTCCGTCCTGAAAGACGGCATTTGAATATGTTTGAAAGAGGTTGAGATCGTGTTGTATTCTTTCTTTTGCAGTCGAAGAATTGGACTCAGGAGCTCCCTTTATGACGATGTTTCGTTTTCGGCAGAGATGCCTGTTTAGAAGAGAGCCCCCACGTTTATTTTTACACGCACGTTCAGCATTTCGCCAATTTCCGTCGTCATCATCGTTTGACTCAGAGACGGCTGTGATGGCATAGCTACCCCAGGGTTCCTCACCAACCGAGTCTTCTTGGTCGTGCGATACATCCTTCGTCAGTGTGGTATTTGCTGGCATTGTGTGTAGACTTTGCTCTCTCATACGGACAGTCTGACCTGCTTCTTCTTTTCGGGATGCTCTGGGGCGCTTCTGCGTTTCCTGAGATCCCTCTCTGTCGTTCTTTTCTTGCAGAAGAGGTCGGTTCTCAGTTGTGATTTCTTCCTTAGATGGACAGTCTTCTTCCTTGGCGGCTGATCCAGTTAATGAGACTGTGCTTGAATATGTTCTCTTTGTTTTCTGAGGGTCTGACATCGCCGACTTTCTCTTTAAGGGTGAATGGCGAGGAAGTTGCGTCAACTTCTCCATCTCTATTTTAAGGCCTTTTGTCTCATTCTCCATCCCCAAGACTTTCTGCAGAAGTCTGAAACATGTCGCATGTGTTTTATGCTCGTTCTTGTAGTTGATATCCATTAAGGTTACTAAACTCCTGGCCCGTTTGGCAGAAGATTTGATAGTGGGGAAGCCGACGTTACATTCATTTAGACAATGTGCATTGTTTATTACATCATTATTCTTAACCCGTCTGCTGCGCGTCTGTGGTCCATTGGTAACGACGCCGCTCTTATCACCTCCTTGACTGGGTTCGAATCCCACTAGGGGCTCACTTTTTGAGCAACATCCCGAAGGCACTTGTTCGACTACCATTTTCAATTTTATAAACTGGAGGAGTTTCTAAGGAAGTTTGAGGAGCTATTTAACCAGACAAACGATATGAAGCAAGTAGGAAACGATATGAAGCAAGTAACCAGCGACTCAGCCGTTCTTGGAATGGGGAGACCCGCGGGGATGTTGGCAAAGAAGTGGTCCGAAAGAGAATGGTTGTCCCAGAGAAGGTCCTGTCGAAGTTCCCTGTGGATCGAGTAATTGTTGGTTACGATCAAATTTCTTAATCCAAATGGGCCCTCAGAGCGTCCAGTAGGCAGAAATCTCGGAAAAGGCAAATTCGTCGGAGGTCGAAAATTTCAAACCGAATTCGAAAGGCGCGCGTATTTACATATAGTATAGGGCTGAAGCCTGTCAGCTAGACACGGAACGAAACACCTGAGTCACGGACGTAGGTGAT